CAGTTACGAGGCTAAGGCTGAATTAGCATTGTAACGTGTGCAGCGATGGAGCGACTGTAGCCGACAGGAGCACGAGGTGCGTAATATTTTTTCAACTTCTCAGTGCAGAATCTTACTGGCTGGTCCAGAATGAGATGAAGCGTAGAATGTATCAAAATTAAAACGGATGATTCCATTTCCAATAACCAAAATCGATAGTCATTTCAATTCAGTTCACTTTTCTAGCTCACATACCGTGCATCGAAATGGAGTGGTTTCAGCTGCTGCAGTTTCATCCACGAAGGATAAGAGAACGACAGTCGGAAGCGATCGTTCATTCATTTAACTGATGTCAAACGGTTCTTGTTATCCGATATGGCAGGAAATGAAAGCCTTAACGCAAAACCGCACCTGGCAGCTTGACACAACCACTTTGGTCAGGCTCGCTAACTATTGGTTTGTCTCGTCCCGGCTTCCTCATCCGGGACGACGTTGCCAACGTTGATCGATAGAACCAGGCACATGGTGAACAGAAAATAAACAAAGCTACTAATGACGAATCCCAACTTATTTAAACATCAAGTAAACAACATCTTCCCTAGCACAGGATAACCTCAAATTCGGATCCCCTGTACAATTGAAATTCGCCATAGAAAGCGAAGAATCCATTACTATTTGATAAATACAGTGACACCTTCGTCAACCTGAGGCTATTGACTCCAGATGTAGTACGTGATGCCATTACATTCAATTATTAATCGCTAGCGCCCCCAGGATAACCGCTTCGTCACTGACTGTAAGGCTGTTGAAACAGTTGTCTTCTTAGGTGAAATTCTGGGTTATGGGGAAATGAACTTCATTCACACGAAGAACTGAACTGGTTCCTTCAAAAGCTTCATAAACGAAAGATTCAGCTGGGTCCTAGGTGCGCCCCCCGGTCAAAATGGTATGCAAATGAGTGTATTCCGCTAAACTAGTTTCCATTCGTTCTAGCTTTGACTGCAAATCAGTCATTATTGGTGAGTGGCAATAAGCCACTCTCGGACCACGTTTCTCAGGCACCTATTGTGGCGTATGCATCGAAGCTGTCCAGAAACATCACTAGCCTAGATTCGCACACTAAATTGAAACACGTTCAACCTTCAAACGAGACCTACCGTGGTCCTGCTGTGATCTTTGGTGTACTATGCACAATGAACATGCAGTCAACGTACGCTCTCTTTGGTTTTTTTACTAGACGGCATGCTAAAAATTGTTTTGGTGTTATGATACATCCTAGATCGGCGGTTTCCGCTCTGGGGGGATAACCCTCAGTTTAAACGACTTCCTCTCGTGAAAACACTTTTTTTATGAAATCAGCAACACGAAATAGTTATTTGGTTGTTAGTCTGTTCAAACAACTCACCCGAGCTACCTACATTCCACAACATTGCGAAATAGTTATACACACAAATCTGAGCTTCAGGGCAAAACCAAATAACATGTGATTTGACGTGAGAACTCGGTGGTTTCTCGTTCCTCCAAAAGTCTCTCATTCTCGCGCTTGCAAACTTTTGACATGATACTACTTATATGGCTTCTGGAAACTTTGCAACAACTAATGACCGATTCACCCTTCTTGAGGCCCATTGGTCGTAACCAAGTTTCTATCAGGCTATTGTTCTATGTGAACAATACATTTTATGAAGTTAGAGAAATACATTTACTTATCATTTACTTGTCAACAGAAAATTCAACGAAATCCCAGCTGAATCTCATTTATGATATGCTTCAACCAAATTCATTGCACAAAAACTGCCCCATGTTCTAGTTGGTACGATATCCTAGGTATCAAACTAGGAGCGGATTGTCAATGAGCTTTCAACAACCTTATAAGTAATGTTTAGCCATGGAATATGTACGACTTTTCAAAAAGTCGTGCGAACTAAAATTTGAAGTGGTCCTTGGGCAGCCAATCCAGTTGCAGAATAGCCGAACGACTAATTTAATAGAGTTTCATGTTAACATCAACGCCATTTACAAACGAATTCACCTCGCGAAGTGTGTACAACTTGGTTCCATTAGAAAGCAATTTCGTTGAAAACTAGGAGACATCGTCTACCTGAGGAGCCCCAGGGGCTGTAGAAAATCCAGGTAGTATGTATTTTATGTATCACTGTTAATGAGTTTGACGAATAGTTCTTTGGAAATTGGTGAAATACAGTCATTTGCACACCGGTTTGACTTTCACTAGAGACCAAAATGAGTCTCTCGTTTATGATGTTCTTCAGAAACCTTATAAGTAGTATGTTACTTCTGTACCTCCTGAGGACCTTTTTGAATTCTCAATGAAAAGGAATTGTAGTGAAGTCCCTTCGTAGCACGGAGGCACATGTATTTTTTGTGTGGGGGGCGTACTGAATGTCAGTGTTTGCATGCCGATGACGATCAAGAAGCGTTTCAACGGGCAAGTGATGCATCCAGTGAGGAAGCTCATCAATCCAAGTCTCGGAAACATTCGTGTAAACATTCCAGTGTCTTTCTTTAGCAGGAAACCAAGGTTCATGTTAGCTGATAAAAGCTGAAAGCACCGTCATTTTGTGGTAATCTGTTGAGCAATGAAAAGTAACCGACAAGTCGGTGATATGTGTAGAAATTTCTATAACCAAACCGGCGATGTTGAGGGAAGAAAGCTGTCGAACGAAACGACTGAATCTTCAAATTTTAAGGTACGCCTTATCAAACTGTTCGTACCTTTTATTGTGTGAGGCCGTACAAAGTTGAATACAATGAGATAAGCATCGACCATAGGCTCGATAGAGGGAACGAAGTGACATTGAGGAAGATAAATTTGGTCTGCGTTCTGTTCATTACAATGTGGGATAGGGCCCTAACAATGAACTTTGAGTTTTGTGATCGAAGGTACTATAAACGAGGCAAAATACGTTTAGATCAGTAAGTAACACTGTCCAGAGAAGATACACAACCCTATTAAAACGCTCGTACATTTCCTGTTATTTTCTGCTTGGTCGTAGTCATAATCTTGTTTCGATTTTACAGTCGCTCATAAACCCCTTCAAAGGCGGGAAACTTTACAGATAAGTGATGTTGAATGCTCAGTATGTGCCGGCCTGGTGAATTGGCCTCCCCCAGGAGTATCCCTTAAACAGGTTGTTTCACCTTCTTAGAAGTGCATGCATTTATTGGTGATACAAAGTTGCTTGCATATTATGCAGCCACTTGACCCAATAGTGAGTTTGATTTTCTACACTGAGATGTCAGCGCACATGGATTTCGGCGAATTCTCGCATGACTACCACATTGGAACCAGGCTTTCTACCTAGCGCATAGTTCACTTGACTATATGACTTGTTACGTACGTTACAAATTTAAACCCCATGTTGTTACTGCCGTTGGTCTCGGCCAAAAATATGAGGTGTAGGAACTACTAACTATCTTTTGAGTAGTAACACCGGGCAAACTACCACTTCCATTCTGTTCGTCTTCTCCCTTTTGGTTTTCGCCTGAGTAGACCACAGTTGAGCACCCACGCTTGTCGCAATCGCTTCCAATTATGTTTCTGTTCGCTTGGGAGAGAAATTCCGTTACATTCTCCTCAAATTCGGACGGCAGGTGTCATTAGTTGCTTAAGCAAGCGAGAGGATGACACCAAACTTACGAATCCGTTTCTGACACTCATTGGGCAAAAGTGCCACTTACCATAAACTCTGTGCTAGTCAACTCTCCAAGTCAATGTGGCACAGTAGTGTGCCATATGCAAAACCAACGATAGGACGCCCATTCTCACGTGTGAATCGCCTCTGATTTTCTTCTGGAACTTGTAGTTAAGCCTCATAGAGGTATGAAAATGAATAACACGTTTTCACAAAGGAAACTACTCACAAGGTTGCTGAAAACCCTTCGTCAGCCTTCGGCCGGTTTCGCTCTTCTTGAGGATCATCAGATAGGCGCAGTTGCCGAGTTTCCGTCAACCTTATGATCTACTTGACCCCAAATTGGACTGCTTTCGGCAAATACATTCATTTGTATATCAATTTGTTTTCACTAAATACTCATTTGAATCTCTCATTTATGATATTCTTCAAGTGGATGCGCTTCACAAAAGCGGTCTCATGTTTCAGTCGGCACGATATTCCAGATATCGCGGTATATTTTCAAAGCAAATTTTCTTCTTACAAACTCAACATGTCATTTTTCAGGGAATTGGGAGTATGAAAAGTCAGAAGACATAAACTTCTGACATTCCACATTGTCCGAAATAGCTTGGTCTATTAGGGTAGTTAGTTGGAGGGGACTGATAGTCGTTCAGCTGTAACACCCTTTTGATGCCTGACTGCCATGCCACCAGAAGGAAGCACGAGAGAGCTGGGATATTGCCAGGTTGCCAAGCCTAGACAAGGGAAGTCCAGAGACTTCCCACGAACCACGGTCAGTAAATTCGCACTCTAACCACTGAGGCCCACAACCAAAAAACAACACTATTCCGATAAATCCGATGAGTAGAACACTAGAGATGCGTCCAATATCAGCACAAATTCGAATATTGAGCAGTATCGTGAGCTCCATGGTTACATTAGGATCTACATGGATCTACGTGAACCTGACCAATGTTACAGAGTTTTTATCACAAACCACGTTATGCCACAGAGGTCAAGAGTTTTTTCCCCTTCTTTTTTCTGTCATACCGTGCTCTTATTAATATCCGCGTGGAAGATCAGCTTCCCCTGAGACCATCAAGACCAAACGCACCAACTCTTGTTTGGTTTCCGTTCTGTCTGTGGTCACTAGCGTTCATTATGGGTTTGTATTTAACCATACAAACACCACCCCTATTTGCTATGGGCAGTTGGCCTCTTTGGTGTGCAAAGCAACACCAGCTTTATTGGCCACAGGAAGCAGACAACGCCCTTGTGGTTGTCCGTGAATCGGGACGATTTTAATCATCTGCATCACCTCGGCTTTTCTGTCTTGCACCACCAGAAAAATTCTCTCTTGTTCTTTACCAACTTTTCTCTGAACAGAGCGCCGTTTGGGTGCGAACGAAGCACCACTTTTGGTCCAACTGAACTACGCCTATGACAATCACGAAGTTCGCTTCATTCTGCGTGACGAGTCAAAACCGTTGCCAACTGCTCGACAGCAGCAGGCCTTGGAGGTAAGCCGTTTCTAGTCCGAAGTTCTTTTTCCTCCAAATTGTGTGTGCAACGATGCTTTCGTCCGTCACAATACTGCAGATTTCGAAGTTGAGCAAATGACCAAACGCCGCACTACAATGGAACTATGCAACCGATTGCTCAGTCGATTATCTAGTGACACTTTTGACTCAGCTGTTGAATACGCTTGAACGTACAGTCGATCGGTCATCACAGAATCATCTCCAATCATATAGTTAGCAACAGCCTGACTAAATTTATACCCACTTCACCATATCACTGTCGCCTCTAAGTTCGGAGGGAAATCACATTTTCAAAAACATTTTACCCGAGGAATACATTGGATTGGGTCACTCTCTTGGGCGCCTACTCCTCAGAAACAATCGTCACTTTCGAGGACCCATGGTCTCTGCAGTCGGTTCGATGTGAATGCTGCCACTTGTCAGAGCAGATACAATCTTCAGTTGATTTTAGCGTCCTGGGTAAACTCCTGCAAATGTTAACTACCCGCGTGGATGGCTTGTTTCCGACTCTTATCGTTGAGTCCCGCATCAACAACATTCTCCGTAGCATTTGTCATGCTGAGTTCATCTCGTATTTTTAGTACTGTCTGGGTTCACCATCGACCAATCAGGTCGCTTCCCAGTTCTAGCTTTTCTCCATCGTTCCGAAACCACCGGGCCTGTTGTCAACGGGTGACTGATGCCGTCTCTTTTGATCCACTGGTTAAGACTTTGCTCCTCATTCATTTGACTCCGGGTGGTCCCGTTTCATTGAAGCTTCAGGGGAGGTAACACCGTGGTTTTTCACACAATATCAACCTAGAAAGAATTAGACTTGAATCTTGTACTTTGTTCCATTGAATTTCGGTATCTACATCAGAACAGTGTGTGTGCCTGTACATATAAATTCCACACTGTTGTTATATCATACAGTCAGTATTTTTTACTTGCTTGACTCACGTGTTCTCCAAGTGACGCATTTTGTCAGCGTCGCCCAAGATCATTGGCCACAGAATGACTGCTCTCTGGTGGTTTTTACGTCGCGGTTTGCCTTAATTACACAATATACGCACTCAACAATACTGTAGAAAATGTGACCAAAAGTGCAGTAGAGCTTAGGTACACTGACTTGCTTGTTAATATTAGCAAAGCTACTTTTGACAGAGTTAAAAGTGTATTGCTTTTTCTAGGTAGGTGAACCATACCGGGAAGCACGGTATTTACCGACCAAATGTATTTTGTCATGGAGAAGGAAGCCACTTGTGTCCATCACCCTCCTCTTTCTAAGGCATTTTATTTTTCACATCACGTGATGTCCTTTTGGTTAGCAGTGCGAAATCTACTCGCCTCAACAGCTGGAGAGTAGTGATAAACTACCTATTCCTCACTTGTCCAGGTCGAAGTCCAATATGGACAAGAGGCAAACACCTACACAAAGATTACTTGTGACCACACCCATTGCCTGACTCACTCACGTGAATTACATTTATTGACTGATTTTATCGATTGACTGAAAAAGCATAATAATGTCGTTCAGCTCCTCGAATACCACTCAGAAATTCTCGATTTTTAGTGGCTAGTTTTTCTGTTGGTTTGGTTCCGACGCACCACAGATGCATGCAATGAACCTGAATGTTGCCTATTCAAAGAAATTCGCTCTTTTGTTTTTTTGTGCACATCTATGTAAAGCCAGTGTAAGCTTTCAGTTGCTCTCGAGTTACTTTGTTCATACACACCACTTGGTATTCCGACAGAGCACTTTGGGCCAGACAAGCTTTGTGCATTTGAAGAGAAACCTAATTGGATCACTTTGTAACAAATGTTTCATTGGACGTGCGATTGTTGGTGTTGTATTTCATGGACGTGTACCATTCTCAGAGCCTTTGGACCTGAATATGTGTGCAAGGGTAACTGGGGTAGTCTGTTGAGAAGCTCGTCCTTGCATTCTCCTCTCGGTCTAGCAATCTATTCTACGGCTAAACATTTCGAGTGGTTTCATCCGGTAACTGCCACTGATGCATATCACCCGACCACTTATGCGGTTATTGACTTGTTAAGGCCAGCCAAACACATGCTCCCTTATGCTTCATGGACTGAACAAATGTTTCAACCGATCGATAGTATGCTGCATCGCTTCCGTAATTTGTCATCAACTTGTCACCACTTCGCTCTTTCCTCCTGAACGTTCAAAGGACGTTGTTCATGACCAAGTAGAGTTGTTCTCCTCAGGAGCGTTCTTCTCTCAGCCTGAGGTCCCCGTACAGTTAAGTATCTTTTCATTACATTTTATCATAAAATGCGATATCCTCAATAAACGGTACGTTCTCGCACAGTTATTCTGTATCCCCCTGACTGTTCTGCTTGCAAAAGCTTTATTTGGAAAACGAATGAGCTTTGCGTCACCAAATTACTTTTCCACCGGTTAATACTAGACCACCTCTAGGGTACGACACTCTATTGCGAAAATTCTTGCGACCAGATTTTGGGCTCACCTAACTGTTATTGTATCACAAACAGAGGTCGATTGTTTGTTTCACTGACATACTATAAATATCCTGAAAGATTCTCCTTTGAGTCCTCCGTTAGAGGAAGTTTATCACGCCCGATTTGGGGGATTTACTCTGGAAAGAGAGCTGAAGGAAATTGAGGGACTATGCCTAATTGATGAACTCAAGTGGAATAAAACCAGCAATGAGTTTTTTCTCAATTTCACCAACGTATGTAGTATCTTGTCGAGGGAAAAATACCGGCTCAGATGATATATCAAGCAGCTGTGAACAATGTTGTGAACAGGGGATTTATTTGGATTTCACATGTGTAGTTCTTCAACACCAGCTAAATTTACACCCATGCCTTAAACTTAAAAAAACTTAGGACGATTCCTATATGGCCGTATAATTATACCGATAAGCACGAGGGCGTGCGTCAAGTTGTCACAAAGTCTTTACTCTCCAGGATCGTAAAACGTGAACTGGTCAGCCAGTGTACCGTTAAATCAGCTTTTCGATAACTAGGATAGCCCGTACAATCTACCAGGGATGCCTTTACTACAAGGGGTGTCAGGAATCACTCTATTTTGATTGGAACATCCGTTTCCACGTCCGAACTCGATGTATTCTAAAAGTTGCCTTGGTCATGTTTGTGCACCCCTTTTCCCCAGAGGACGGGCATTTATCGGCCTACCGGTTTAGCGTTCTAACTTACTCGTGAGGTACCTTTCAGCAGTTGTAACCATGGTAATGCACGGTGATCTTTCTCACCATTGGATAAGTTTGTTGAGATCGGATCGGCCGGTTATCACATGTAGGTGGGGATGGACGAAGCGGTGTGCCAGTACACGCTATCCGTATGGCTTGTGAACACGGCTTGACAGTCACGTGATCATCTGACCGTTCAAGCTTAACAGTTGTCATTTTAGGTGCACTCACTTATTTTACGGCACATTTGTGGTGACAAGGGATGAGTCGAATGTCTGATAATTTCAAATCGGTGCTATCTCCTAATCAGCATTAGCAACAAGGTCTGAGTTCTGTTCCATTGATTAATGGCTTAGAGACCACCTACTGGTCCAGCAGTTTGCCTTGACCCCAAGGGAGCCAGGTTTTCAACTATCCTTCACGCTTTGCTGAACAAGGTAATGGCTACAAAAACAATGTGCGATCCAGGATGCCTGTCGGCATCGTTGGATCAATTTTGGAACACTTAAAATAGTATAACAACATCTGACACAATCGTGCGGTACTTTGTCTTCGTAGGGATCAAACTTGTCGGCTATGGGATTCTAAGTCTCACACACGCAGTACAGGGCGGATCTAACATCGAAGATCTTTGTTCGAAGGCTGATTTTTCAGCATTTTCATGGGATGTTGTAGGTGTACTTAAGTTTCCCTGACATTATGGATGTGAACTCCTATTTCTCGCCATACTCCGCTGTTTGGAAGAATGACAGAGCCGAATTGTTTGAGTGGATCGGCGCGGGTATTGTCCAGTCGATCAGAAAATGGAGAACGTAGGCAAACTAGATATACTATAAGAAGATAATTATGTACTGAACTTGATGAAAAACTAATGAATTCGTTCCAGAGTCTGGAGGTTTTCCAGCTAATCGAATGTGAGGGAATTCGCTGTTGATCGTGAAAACACTTGAAACAAACAAGTGTGATTCGCCAATAACGTCACACGTCGGTTACATTCATCTATTCATCAGCTACGAGACATGTATCACTGTGGCTGAGTTCGTCTGATTCTTTCGAAGTCGTACTAGGCATGCAGCTCTGTACTTCCCGTGCATTGCACCTAAGGTGATGCTTCTTCACAGTTTTTTCTTCTGAGAATCATGAATTGTACGTTGGTCCTTTGCAGCTCACAACATTAGATGTTTTAGAACATAGTAATTCATGTGAAATACGATGCGTTCATCCTGGAAAAAACCCGGCTTGCACTATTTTGATCTATCTCACATGAAGAAGCAACTTCAAGTATAAATTTCATTTGTCCAGAGTCAAAATGGACCATAAACACCCAAGTTTTATGATTCCGGAAATGCAATAAGCCATACCATGCTAGGTTTCCATGTTCGACTTCGAGTGAAGGTTAACTGTGGTCCGTGATAACATGTGGATGAGTGGACGAGAAACCTCTGGAAACCTAGAGAGAGTTGAGATGGTCGTGCGTGCAGTTCTGCCTCAAACGGCCATGTACAGTACAGACGTTGGATCACGTTGTCGCTTGGATGTAAACAAATTTAAACAATCACTGAGGCTAAAATCGTGTCTGTTGTTTGACACTATGGTGTGAAAAAGTAATCGTGACCTCATCGGCTATTTATCCTCATAGTGCGGAATGTTAATGGAACGACTACTGGCCGCACCACTAGACTTGTTTGAATTTCTGTTCCGGGCGTAGCTGCATGTGACTTGAACAGACCAGTTGGGTAGCGCTGGTTATAGGATTGGAAAAAGGTGGGTTGTCCTTGCGGTTGGTAGGAGGTCCGTTGTGGTAGTTTCAAGAATTTCAGTGCTAAATCATCGGTGATCTGGTCGTTAGCATCACCAAAAGCACTTATGCCTCACTGCTGTAAGACCATAGTTTGTCTGTCACGTGGACACCCTTCTGATGGGTGGGCACAGTGACAACTCTCAAACTTTCTGTAAGCACCGGGTTTGAATTTGCCCATCTATCTGTCTGTACCACTCTGACTAAGGAACGGAAAACAGCGCGCGCTTTTTGGCGGACGATAATTCGGCATGTGCAATACACGAACAGATTCCGAGCACATTCTTCAGTTGATGTTCCCAAGACCACGTATATTCTGGTAGTTACCCTGCGGATGCGTTTGCAGCGGCTTACACGAGCTTTATTTTTGAAATAAAAACAACGTCCTGGTGCCAGGGATCAGATCTCACAATCGCACAACAAAACAGCATGTAGCCTTATACGCACTTCTCTGAGAGTCAGCGGAATATCCCTCTCTCGCCATGGTTTTCTCAGGAGGAGATTTATATACTGAACTAACTCGTTACAGAACACTCAAACCTAGAAAAACTTCTGAGTTGCTGAACCTCTCCCCAGGCTGGAATGTTGATTTTCAAACTCTGAGTGGTGTATTCAGCCCAGGAGAACGGCTACACGCATTTTGGATTCAAAGCGTGATGATTTTTGGAAATACTTTCAGGGGCATATGTGCCTTTACTTCTTCCTCATAAGAAGAAATGATATTCTCCATCCACTCCGCGCCAACAAACACTTCTACAGCAACTGTCTGAAGACCATAAAACACTGAAGCACTTTGAGAGTATCTTCGCAACTAGAATGAGACTAATAGACCTGTGACTGGTTGTTGATCAGACGGCTGTTGATCTGTTCACCACATTACCAGACCTGTGACTGTCGCTTCCGACACCATTCCCCTTTTGAAAATATGTACTGTGATCAGTTCCTTTCAGTTGGCCTACTTTCCCAAGAAAGAGCCCAATGAGTCAGTAGAATGCTGACTAAGAACTTCATTCTTGTCCTCGAAAAGTGCGCATGAGGGTTGTCCAGTCCATTAGGTCAGTTGTGCTATGCTAATTCCACCTACTTACGTATTCATACCGGCGTAAACCTCAGCGTGTGGGGCTTTTAACTCCGAACACCTTAAGCTTTATGAATCCGATGGTATCAGAGCTACAGTTAATTTTGGCTTAAGAAGACAAGTCTTTGAGAATCTTTGAGATTTTTCAAAACGAGATGACCATCAACGTCTATTTAATCAGGCGGGAATCCTTCAGACTGGTTGGTTACAATGCTGCTGACTACTGTATCGCCTGTCACAGCAACTTAGCGTAACCGGCTGCCAGAGATACCGATGAGGCGGTTAGCTCACCGCTTTTATTTGGATAAGGAATGCTCACTTTTGATACACGATATTTATCGGTTAAAAGCCAATTCGTCGTACAAGCAAGATGTTGCTTCAAAGTACAAACATGAATCAGATTCAAGTAGACCGGGAATCTAGGGTTTCCAAAATGCCTGCTGTTGTCAGTGCTGAGTGAAGTGCAAATGACGCAGCTATGGGCAAAATAAAATAAATCTGGTTTTCAGTCCTTAACGGAGAGACGCCACAATTAGTATACCAATAATGAGTTGAGAGAAAAGGAAAGAACTGAAGTGTCAAAGTTAACCGATTTCGTTTGTTGTATGCTGTTTTATGCAGCAAACATGCTGCATCTGAGGCTCAAGGGAGCTTGCAGCTGTCTATCAAGTTTCTGCTTTTTTTTATGAAATCGACATCGGAGACTCTGTTAGGAACACTCCAGTGGAGCTCAGCAACCCATAGGGGTGTACACGCAGTTAGACCACCAAGCCATCCAATCACTTCTTGACGGCTCTTCATCTTGAAGCGATGTGCTTACGCATATCCAGCGGTTCAACAAGCCTCTGCGACGCAAACTAAGCACTTCCGCTCAGCTCCGGTCCAGACAGAGACTTGCCTTTCGTTGCCCTTGCTTGACACGATTGGCTAGTGATTGGTCAATTGTACTGCACGGTGCCTAACCAATCGGGTGTCGAACAGGCACGTGCTACCCTCTTACTGCACTGCCTTGGCAGCCTTGCTCAAGCGAAATCGATGCACATGACGTGAGATCTACTGGCTAGACCAATCACACAAAAAGTAAGCAAGTCTTATTCGGATACGTTGGAGCGCATACGTCCGCTTCACCTGAATTACTTGATGCTCTCTTGTTCTCCTTGAAACGGCGATGTTAATGACCAAGGTGTATAAATTCATCTGCATCACCCTCACTGAACTCTGCCGAAAGAAGCTGACTGACATAAAGTAAAAAGTGAGAACAACAAACGATTTTTGAAGGCTATGGTAAGAAACATGTTCAATGGGCTATTGCCATTGTCCCGTTTCAGTTACGCGTGTTTTGACTACGTGGGTAACCTCGTTACCGTTTACATTGGTGCGTTGTTCCGGTACTTTAGATGAAAAGCCAGGACAATGAAATTTTTTAGGGTTTGACACTTCTACCAAAACAACTAGTGTTTTCGGTGTCCCTCGTAAGACGGCAAACCGGGGGGAGAGCAGACCAAACTAAAGCAAAGCTACACGAACAAGGCGAACATGAAAATGTTTGTTGGGAGTTTGAAATGACCTACATGTGTGGACTGTTAAAACACGCACTGCTCAAGTCTGTTTGCAAGTCGGCAAACAGATCAACAGCCAATAAACTCACCCGAGTTATCAATATTTCGATACATTACCAACATAGCACACCTATACGAGGAACTCACTTCCTTTGATCTCGTTCTCCTATTAATGTTCTCTCCTGTGAAGCGAAGGCTCAACCAAAAGTTCACCCATGCTAATTGCACTTAATGAAGCTTGTTGTGTAGGCAATACCAATACTGACTGAGTAGACGAGAACACACTGTTTTCAGGCTGGCCATATGGAAATGACAACAAGTGCAGGGCCCGTGAACCGTCTCAGTCTGCAACGGGTGCCGAACAAAGAAGACAGTTGCAAATAAGTGGTGGAATACACCCATTTTCAGTTTGAGTCAGGGCCAACAAGTGACCCATTACAGTCCCGTGTTTGTGATGTTCTTCAGTTAAATTTGCGTCGCGAAGGTCGCTCCATACGAGTTGGCGCGATGTTCGAGAAATACCAGTGTAACGGTGATACTACTGATTGGGGGCATGCAAGTTGTACGTTATCTCGTAAATCCTGTGAGGTTGTGAACAATCTTCCGCCAATTATTGCTTTTTTTCCTCGCGCGCACTGGACTCATTGTTTCTCGACGTTCGGGAACCATTGATAGTGGTTTTCATCTTATTATAAGGTCGGTAAAATACCTCTTCAGGCGTAGTCATACCTCAAGGACTGTCTTATTCGACTTCTTGGCAAGTAAACATTGTGATATGTGTTCCAACTTCAGCCGAAGAGTTCTTCCTGGATTTTCCACTCTCTTCGCCAGTTCATCGCCAAAGCCATCTGAGCACAAACTATTATCCTACAGAACTTTTACTTATTTTATGATGTCATACTTGGCCAAGTTTTTACTTATTACGCCACCCACCGTAACCCACTCTCCTGTAAAGTTTTGTCAACGTTTATCGAGTGGGTTTATTGTTAACATGTGACATCATTGTAAATTTGATCTTTGACGGTTCAACTTACGGTGCATATAGGTTCACTTGATTTAACCTGATCTGAATTGATCTGTGGATTTTTCAAATCCCGTTGTAGAACCAACCAGGCGCTCTGCAAAACGGCACAGCCAGATATCGTTCAAGCCAAAAGTTGGTCGACAGTGCGGAGGACTCGGCGAAAAGTGATCGTGGCTTCGCACGGCGGTGGTCATCGGGGTCAAGAAAGAAAAAGAAAAGAAAAGAAGGACAAGCAGAACAAAATGGGATCGATCTGACTCCGGTTCCCGATTCCAGCTTTACTCGGACTCTGTCCAATCCCGACGAAGTACTTAGAAGGCGCAGACAACAGCGAATGCAGAATCGGTTACAGTCTGGTACTCCGGGTGAAGAACGAGGTGAGTGAATTCCCCTGAGGAAATTGGTTTTGAGTTCAAGCAGTTTCTCCGCCCCTTTTCAAGGCGAATCCTCTAAAGGATGCCCGTCTCATGGAAACTCTACAACTGCGTGCACTGTCACTGGTGGACGTCACTTAATACGCATTCTGCTTGATGAGACATCAATACAGTATAGACCAAACTCAATAATTCCATCAGAAGCGACCACGAACACCACGGAAAGTGAGTAAACTTGCCGTGGCATAACAAAGTATGTCGTGACCGACATGTAATGCTGTTTTGACTTTCCCACGAGAACGCAGTCGCCTAAACAAGGTCTCTTGGTGGTTACCGTATTATTCTCTCGTTTACGAATTCTGTAAGATGATTCAAGATTCATGACAATTGTGTTGACAGTGGGCGCGCCCTAGGTAATTCTTTTGGGTATTTCTATCTTTTTGTGTAGATTCCCACCTAATATGCTGCTGAATTAATGGTGCTGTTAATAGTTCATCGTCTTTCATCAACCGGGCTAATATAGTTCATAATGGGAATATGACGTCTACCTTAGTACTTCTAAGTCTGTGAAGACCAGTAAAGTGGATCAGGATAACACGTCCATCTGAAATTACTTCTGCCGACTGGACGATGCTTTCTACGTATTGTTTACTTCTGAACTCCATTTGACGCTTTGAAGCTACCAGCGACGAAGACGGTGGTTGGATGCGTTCCAAAGTGTGAAGTCCGATGGCATCATGTTTAGTGAAGTAACAATGCGTTCAGTATGTCACTCTTGGCTCCGGACTTTTGAGATGCAGTCTTCCATACTAATTTCCCTCGGCCTCCCCACTTTAGTGCTTATGAGCAGTGGTTCCCTTCTGCATTCGTTTTTTTTGTTGGCAATCGGTAATCTTAAGAAACTCGCAAACTGAGTAAATACATGCAGTCATCTGTTAATTTCAAAGCTATTGTTGGAAGGAAAACAGAACCTCGCAGCAGACCAAGCTTCACGTCTGACACCCAACATTCAGGCTCACCGTCTACTAATCGTACAAGGCATCGCTATCAGATTGCTGATCACCTATCCTGAGTTAGAGTTCTTGAGAAAGTGTAGTCGTTCAAACCCTTTATTGATTGGCCACCGATGATCGATGAAGTGGCCCATAGTACTCAGCCGGCCCTTCAGTTGCAATTGGTGTGCCAAACATCAGTTTCACTCATGCCTGTGAGTTAACGGATGTTTGAATGGCAACACGCATCAAATGTGTTCATCAAACCAACGATATCTTTCTGTCGAAGTTGAGCCGAATTTAGGTCTGAAGACTATCATGCAAATCAGTGGATAGATGAACCTTAATTTGCATATGGATTCAGATCGCTTTGTTCAGACACTGAACCGACTGCAGTTGTCCGGTCAGCGCACGTGAGTTGCAACACCGATAAACTTGCTGATCAGCGACACACATGGACCCATGAAGAACAACCCACGCATCTTATCAGAAAAGCACTTGTTTGCGGGAGTGAATAACGTAATAATATTTTTTTATACACAATCACTCTCTTCCTCTTTGTTGGCTAGACACTGTACGAAGTGCTGTTTCAAGTGGTCTTTTTATGTTCCGGACTGTCAAAGACATGAATGAGATAGTAAAAACAGTTATGATGACAATTCATCACATTGGTACGCACGTTATCTCAGCCAAGTGAGCTTATCGCAACTCGCGATTGCCCGAGACTTTCGAAAGGCGAAAACAAATGGAATGGATGACAGGAAAAGCTGGAACATATTTCCTGGGCTAATAACACAAGTGTTGGGTAATGTTTAATAGCCTGCTATAGGTCAACGCCAAGACTGAACACAGCGGGTTAACGGTGCTTGCACGATCGGTACATCACAGGCGATATCACCGATCCAACACCCGAATCAGAGTGAAGAAGCCGAGTGGAACCGTGTCACCTGAATTCAAAGTACGGAGTTCCAAGATTTATGTGGAAACTTACAGCTGCTTGACTAATCAGATGATGTAAACAGAGTGAGGCGAAATGAAGACTTGCGCATGATACCCAAATCATCTAACGACTGTTTCAAAGCTGCGCTGTTCTTTTGGTTGGGTTTTGTCGTGCTGCGCATGTAGCATGTGATACATCCGAAACGGAGAAATCTGAGGTGAACGTCTTCGATGAATTGAGATCATATTCAATAGGATCATCACATCGCTTAGAGGTTCCAACGAAACGACTTGGTAGAACATACCACTCATAAGGTTGCTAAGAACTCATTGATAGTCCACGACCAGTTTCATTCTTTTTGGGGTTGATCAGAGAGACACGTCACTAGTATGTGCCACTTGAAGCCAAAATTTATGTACTTGCTAAGTGATCAACTTATTTGGTTTTAACGGGAGACTCAATCGATCCTGTCGCTTGTGATGCTGAAGACAAGCGGGGAAACGCACATACTTGAGGTGCCGTAGAAGGGCGAAACTGGCCGTGGAGTGTCGAAGAGTCTTAAGCAACCTTATGAGTAGTATATGCCATCAAGTCAGTAAACAGCGATATCTTGAACGTCGAACATCTCAAATATCATCCCAAGTGAAACATGAAGCGATCTTCTGTAGAACATTCAGTTAACGATGAAAGTCATAAACGAAATATTTAGCCTGAATTCTGTTCAGTCCGCCGTCAAAGTCAGACTAGTTTGCGAATGAGTTTGTTTCGCGCACTGGGTTAATTCTTAGTTTCGAACGCAAGCTTTATTTGGGCAGCCGTTCTGAACCATTGCACTATTAGTATGGCGAATGAACAATGGCTGGACAGCTTGCTGTGCTGGGTTTCGGAAAACTCAACAGGCGATTCTGTGGCTAAGGCACACAGCTAATTCATTTCGCGCCCATCGAGAACTTTACTCATTATAAATTGGTTAGGTAAGTACCAATTTTTCATCCTGTGTTGGGATTTTACAACATCAGATTTCATGGTCAGCTGCTTCAGTGATAATGATTAGAATCGCTCTCTTGGTGCCTAGCTGCCATTCCACCTGAAGCAAGCAAAAGGATTGAGATACTGACAGGTTATCTAATCCTAAACGAGATTACTCAAGCTGCAGAGGTTTTGACCATGCACCTTCCGGTCAAGACTTTTGCACCTTAATCACTGAACTGTCTAGAGGTTATGTGTTTAATACAAAGAAATTGGTTGTCCGGTTACTCCTAATAATAGTATCTGTAACGTCGATTAGAAGTTCCAGCGGTTTACTACCGGCTCACCATTTTTGAAGATTGATGAATGGGCCAAAGCCAGAATTCTGATCACAATTCAACACGAAATTGTACATATATTGCGACTAACATCTACTTTTTCAAGTGCGTCCAAGTTGGCGAGACACTCAACTGAAACTCAATTAAATCTCTCGTTATACTGCCCTTCAGCTGAATGTGTCGCACAAAGACCGTACCCTATTTCATTCGGAATGATATTTAAATATAGATTTTTTCCTCAGACGATAAGGTCGTTGCACGTTCTGCTCGGTTCACTGCCATTTCCCTCAGGCAGACCTATATATTGAGGTTCCATCATTCTTGTTCAGCACTTGGAACCAGAGTTAATTTGCACACCAGCGATCATCGCAGCATAGATACCGATCTGTTCACATCCGGACTGATCATACTACGATATTTCGGATTTCCTTCCAGCTGAAACATAAAGCGAACTTTGTGCTGCTCACATTGTAGATGAATAAGCGAACAGTATTCCATATACCATATTTGTGCTGTCAGGTTCACATTACTCTCGTTTGACTAGTCATCCCCGCGTACCGGTGAGTCCACATACCAAAGGGGAAAGCAATGAACTACAGTTTCCCTCCTATCAGAGCTCGATCGTGCCAGATTTCGCATCCCAGTCTTCTCACAGGCGGGTTGGGTGTGTTACCACTCCTCCACCAGCCTGAGGCATCTGAATTTTCTTGTCTAACCAGACGAACGTCGTAAAACCTATCATTGTGATTTATAGATGTGGAAATTCGTTGAATTATTTCCATTTGTTGGGATGGGCATCCGCAACCTGAGGTCTTTTGGGTTGATGGCATCTCACGCAGAAAATGAGCTTGTTGTCCGTCCTACTTGGGTACTGTTAGCTTACCCGATTGACTGGTTCTTGACTGAGATCTGTTGCACCTCCTCGGTCTGTATGTGCACGGCAGTTACTTGGCACATTGAGAATGGCCGTAATCCTGTTCATTGAGAATAAACAAGTTCCATTTAATGTTACCCCTCTGCTGTTTCATACTCAGTGGTCAGATATAAGTTTTATGATGCATGTTTTTTCAATGAATAATCAATCACATACAATCTTGTTTTGTTCGAAGTAGACATAGTGAAAATCTATGGCGATTCCATCAATCCTGAGGTGCCCTTTGTCACGATTTCCCTGACAATCGACGACACAGCTGACAAAGTGGTTGCCATGGCACTCGAAAAGTATGGTTTGATCAAGCAAGTGAACCCGAAGGACTTCTGTATCGTCCAAATGAACATTGCACCTCGTGGTGAACGGCTTCCGTGAGTTCATACTCTGCATTTCAGTTCAATAATGTCTTGTGATATATATATAT